CTCTGACTTCTGACAGCAACAATGCACTTTAGTCCACACAACTGCCGCTCACTGGAAATTTTCTCTTTTTCGGACCACTCTCGGTAAACCCTAGAGATGGTAGTTGGTGAAAATCCCAGTAGATCAGCAGTTTTTGAAATACACAGACCAGCCCGTCTGGCACCAACAACCATGCCACGTTCAAATCACTCAAATCCCTTTTCTTCCCCATTCTAATTCTCGGTTTGAACTTCAGCAAGTCGTCTTTACCATATCTAGATGCCTACATGCATTGAGTTCCTGCTATGTGACTGGCTGATTAGCATCTTTCACCCAAACCGACCTGACTGTCCCATGTTTATGGGCTGGTCCACCACTCTACCAGGACCTCCAAACTTGAGATTGGTTAGACTCCCATAAATATGCAGATTAGGTCTACTCTGCCCACTGGCTTCTAGAAAGTTCCAATGCCCAACAGAACCAGGTGGAGGCAATAGATTCCCTACTTGTTAAGCCATCCAGCTTGACCTGCAGTAACCCGACCTTCTTCACAGACTCACAAAGTTACCATGAGTCCTACACAACAGATTTGCCTACACTATTCTAATAGCACACTAAAAGGTGCTACATAGAGAAATAATTCCCAGTGGATGAGCAGGTTTATAAAATACTCACATTCGAAGTCACTTAAATCCCTTGTATTACCAAGCAATTGAAGAGGTGTACCTAATAAAGTGGCCGGTGAGAGTATGCTTGGAATTTTTTTTGTCTCAGCTTTCTACAGCAATCATTCCTGATTTTATTACATTCTGTTCTATGTGAATGGTTAATGCCATCACATTCTACCTGGACTTTTATGTGCACCCCATTTAAATGACCACTTAAGCTCTGAAAGGTTTTCACCCCTCATGACCAGGGCATTTTTTTTTGCTATACGGCAATGTGCTACTTTAACTGGCAATTGCACAGTCATGCAACACTGTGCCCAAATAAAATCTATATAAATTTTTTCACACAAATAGAGCTTTCTTTTAGTGGTATTTGATCACCACGGTTTTTTAAATTGTTTATTATATAAATGAAAAAAAAGACCAAAATGTTGAAAAAAAACAACAACAGTATTTTCTACTTTCTGTTATACAACATATCCAATAAAAAAATGTCTTCATATATTTAGGTCAAAGTATATTCTGTTACTTTTACTTTGGTAAAATAATATCTAAAAAAAGTGTGTATTAATTGTTTTGTGCAAAAGTGATAGCATCTACAAACTATACGATATAAACTGGAATTTACGCAGCTATGACACTACATTGCCTTGAAAAAGTATGCATACCCCTTGAAATTTTCCACATTTTGTCATGTTACAACCAAAAACTTAAGTGTTTTTTATTGGGATTTTATGTGATAGACCAACACAAAGTGGCATATAATTGTGAAGTGGATGGGAAAATGATAAATAGTTCTCAAATTTATAAATTGTTTACAAATAAATATCTGAAAACTGTAGCATGCATTGGATTCGGCCTCCTTTACTCTGATACCCCTAACTAAAATCTAGTGGAATCAATTGCCTTCAAAAGTCACCTAATTAGTAAACAGAATTCACCTGTGTGTAATTTAATCTCAGTATAAATACAGCTGTTCTGTGAAGCCCTCAGAGGTTTGTTAGAGAATATTAGTGAACAAACAGCATCATGAAGGCCAGGGAACACACCAGACAGGTCAGGGATAAAGTTGTGGATAACTTTAAAGCCAGGTTAGATCATAAAAAAATATCCCAAGCTTTGAACATCTTACGGAGCACTGTTTTATCCATCATCTGAAAATGGAAAGAGTATGGCACAACTGCAAACCTACGAAGACATGGCCATCCACCTAACCTGACAAGCTGGGCAAGGAGAGCATTAATCAGAGAAGCAGCCAAGAGGCTCATTGTAACTCTGGAGAAGCTGCAGAGATCCACAGATCAGGTGGAAGAATCTGTCCACAGCACCTTAGGGGGCTGAATACAAATGCACGTCACACTTTTCAGATTTTTATTTGTAAAAAATTTTGAAAACCATTTATCATTTTCCTTCCACTTCACAATTCTGTGCCACTTTGTGTCGGTCTATCACATAAAACCCCAATAAAATAAATTTACGGTTTTGGTTGTAACGTGACAAAATGTGGAAAATTTCAAGGCGTATGAATACTTTTTCAAGGCACTGTATATGTAATGGCGGTAATCAACAACTTATAGTGGGACGGTGATAGTGTGGCGGGAAATCTGGCACTAACTTGTTGCTGGCTGGAGCTGACATCAATAGTGACACTTATAAAGTGATCAGTGCTAATGCTATACACTGTCACTGTACTAATGACACTGGTTGGGAAGGGATTAACATCTAGGGGCAATCAAAGGGTTAACTGTGTGCCTAACAATGTGTAATGTGTGTAATATGTGCTGCTTTTACTAAAAAATCTGAAGCTGAAAGAAAACAGACACATCTCTGCTCTTTGTACAGAGCCCTATGTTGTTATTGGCTGGGACCTGCTGACCGACTTGTGCTGTACTGAATGACAGCACAGATCGGGCAGGGGGCACACGTATGAGCACCCTATACCTGGAAATGCTGGATCATGTATGTACTTGATCCAGCACAGCGGAGCCATCCAGCCACAGTAAAAAGGCTGTGGACTATCCTTAGGTAGTTCAAGATGAAATCCTGGTATGGAAATTTTTACATATTTATCTATACCTGCCTGATCCCTGCGGGAGTTAGAAATCACTGGAGTAAGCACAGCTACTATGGTGATCGCTACTAGTTCCAGGTCCAAGCTGCTGCTCTACTGCATTGTGAAAACAGGAGGTCACACACTCAGCACGGGTGCCCTTCAGAAAGCACTCTGCATTTTCTCAATGAAAGCAAAGTGTTCTCTGATTGGACAAAGTAGAGACAGTAAAAATACAATAAAATAACTTCTGCGCTACCAAAAACCACAAAGACAGTGATAAAGCAGCAGAGCAGATAACACATGTGTTCCCATACAAAACCTCATGAACAAAATCCTAGTACATAGTGTGCTGCACTACCAATGTGCTACATCAAATTGTTGCTCAATATCAGCTAGCATTCACATACACAGTCATGGCCAAAAAAATTGGAACCCTTGCATTTCTGTCAGATAATGCACCACTTCACGCAGAAAATTGTTGCATTTACAAATGTTTTGGCATTCTCATGTTTATTTCTTTTGTTTGTATTAGTATGACACAAAAAGGTGAAGAAACAAAAAGCCAAATCTTACACATTCCACGCAAAACCCCAAAAATGGACTGGACAAAATTATTGGCACATTCTCAAAATTATAAGAAATAATTGCATTCCAAGTTTGTGATGCTCCTGTAATTTGTAATTAAACTCATCTGTATCAGTTAACAGGTGCTGACAATATAGGAATCACAATGGGAACCAGTTAAAATGAAGAAAATTTGACTCAACCTTTCTGCTGTGTGTCTCTGTGTGCCAAATGGAATAAACAGAAAAGAGAGAACAGCGAAGAATTGTCTGAGGATTTGAGAACAAAAATTGTGGAAAAGCAGGGACAATCTCAAGGTTATACAAGTCCATCTCCAGAGTTCTTAATGTTCCTGTGTCCACTGTGCGCAACATTGTCAGGAGGTTTACAGTCCATGCCAGTATAGCTAATCTCTCTGGACGTGGACGAAAGACAAAAATGGATCAAAGATTGCAACAAAGGATTATTCGAACGGTGGATAAAGAACCTCAATCAACTTCCAGACAAATTTAAGCTGACCTTCAGGCACAGGGTACAACTGTCAGCTCACACTATACATCGTCATCTGAATGAAAAGGGACGCTCTAGTAGGAGACCCAGGAGGAGCCCACTGCTGACACAGACACATAAAAAAGCCAGATTGGAGTTTGGCAAAACATACCTGAGGAAGACAAAATCCTTTTGGGAGAATGTGCTGTGGACAGACGAAACAAAATTACAGCTTTTTTTGGTAAATTCAGGGGTGCCAGTATTTTTGGCCATGACTGTACGTGCATATCAATATTATCACATCAGTGTGTAAATGACTAAGTAAAAAAACAATAAGACAAAATAACAATACATACCACACATTAACATCAAAGTACCATGTATTGTATATACAGTGCTTAAAAAATGTCCTTATCAAATACGTGTTTAATCCATATACAGTACTTTTGTCCTTGTTATTGGTGGAAAACATTCATATACAGTGCATACATGTAACTCATGCAAAAACCTGTGAAGTTTAGTGCCGTGACAATATCCTTCCTCTCGTGCTCACAATGCTCTCACCTTAGAAATATGACCCACAATAAATGCAAAGTCATATAATGTATGTTTCCACTAGGTTCTCCAAGACGCTTGGATGCCTCTCTGTGGACTTGCGGTAAGTTTGCCAGGACTTCCTGTCCACTAGGGTGCCTTCCAGGAAACCAGACTGCATTTCCCTTTAAGGCTGCCTAGTACTCATGCTGCCATGTTGTATCACTCACATGTATCATGCCAAAGAGAGCACAGAACAGCTCCAATGGTGTAGTATTAAGAGTACTGATACTTTATTGTATAAAAAAATAAGTGCATGGGTTTGTGCAAAATGCTGTCATCCCAGCACACTGGAAGTGTTCCAAAATGTAAACTGAGCTGCGCTTCGTAATGTTTCATTTTTTACCTTCAGTTCCACTTTCAAGTTCTGTGGTCACAATATAAACTTTTATTTTATAGCATCAGCAATGTATTAGCAATATAAACAATATTTTTTTGACAATCCAGTATAGTCTTACTTGAAAAATCTCCTTTCGTGTTGTGAGTTCTGTCTGTCTGCTGCCATCTCTTTCCACAACTTCCTGGATTCCCTGCATGCTTCTCCTCTGCTCAGGGGCGGACTGACAACTCATGGGGCCCTCGGGCAGTAGGGGATCATGGGGCCCCTGTGTCCTTGCCTACACTCAAACCACACCCAAAAAAGCCTATGAAAGGTACCAGGGGCATCTCATGGGGCCCCCTACTGACCCCGGGCCCTCGGGCAATGCCTGAGTGCTCGAATGGTCAGTCTGCTCCTGCCTCTGCTGTTTATTTTCAATTTCTAAGGATGGCATATCCCATAGTACCTCACTGCCTGCAAGTAGTGATTCCTATACTGACTCCGCCTCCTGAAACTCCTCCTCTCAGCACCTCTGTATCTCAGAAGGCAGGCTCTGGGAAATGTGTGACACAGCAGTGCCTACTCACAGGAATATGTGTCACAGAGTTCAAGGAAGTAAATGTGTGGGGATCTTCACAAAGTAAATTGACAACCTTCCAGACTATTCAGATTAATAGGAGTAGGATAGAAATAATTTAAGTACAAGGTGGGAATGAAGATATGATTTTCAATTTTGACTCGATATGTTTTAAAGCAGAATTTTAGGCAAACAGCTAATGACACAGTTGAAATACATATACCTGTACAGTGCTCAGCATAAATGAGTACACCCCTATTGAAAAGTAAGATTTTAATCAATATCTCAATGAACACAAGAACAATTTCCAAGATTTTGACAAAACTGAGTTTTATAGAACATTTGTTTAGCTCATTACATGAAAGTAAGGTTAACAATATAACTTAGATTACAAAACCTTCAGTTTTACTCAAATTAGTTGATGCTAGAATGAATACACCCCACAACAAAAACTACTACATCTAGTATTTTGTATGACCTCCATGATTTGTAAGGACAGCACCAATTCTTCTAGGCATGGAATGAACAAGTTGGCGACATATTGCAATATCTATCTTTTTCCATTCTTCAAAAATGACCTCCTTTAGGGTCTGGATGCTGGATGGAGAGTGATGCTCAACTTGTCTCTTCAGAATTCCCCATAGGTGTTTGATTGAGTTCAGATCAGGAGACATACTTGGAATCACTTTCACCCTGTTCTTCTTCAGAAATGCAACAGTAGCCTTAGATGTGTGTTTCGGATCATTGTCATGTTGGAAAAGTGCACAACGACCAAGGGCACGGAGTGATCTTCTCTTTCAATATAGAGCAGTACATCTGTGAATTCATGATACCATCAATGAAATGCAGCTTCCCAACACCAGCAGCACTCATGCAGCCCCACAGAAGGACACTGCCACCACCATGTTTCACTGTAGGTACCATGCATTTTTCTTTGCACTCCTCACCTTTGCAACGCCATACAGTTTTGAAGCCATCAGTTCCAAAAACATTTATCTTGGTCTCATCACTCCAGAGTACAGAGTGCCAGTAGTCTTCTTTTTCAGCATGGGCCCTGTCAAATTCTAGCTGGCTTTTTGTGTATGGGCTTTAGGAGAGGCTTCCTTTGTGGATGACACCCTTGCATTCCATTCCTCTGCAGTGTATGCTGTATTGTGTCATGGGAAACAATCACCCCAGTTTGGCTTTCTACTTCTTAAGCTAACTGCAGTGAACTTGCATGGCAATTTTCTTCAACCCTTTTCATCAGAAGACGCTCCTGTCGAGGTGTTAACTTTCATGGATGGCCTGGACGTCTCTGTGAGATGGTTGCAGTTCCATCTTTGTTAAATTTTTGTATCTCTTTTGCTACAGTATTCTGACTGATAAGTAAAACTTTGCTGATCTTCTTGTAGCCTTCACCTTTCTTGTGTAAAGAAATTATTTTCTTTCCAGGCCTTGTGACATTTCTCTTCCATGTGATGCCACTGCTAACAGCATGAAATGGGAAGGGATTTTCTTTGTTAAGTAATGCTCTGTTATAATCAACTGTCTGTTGGACACCTGTGCAATGAATAATTAGACTCACCTGTAGTTGAATTCTTGTTAATTAGGATTTTGTTATCTAAAATTTAGCTTTGCTCCTAACACTTTCATTGGGGTGTATAACTTTTTGCAACATGGTCTTGAATGAATTTGTTAGGAAAAATACTTCCTTGTGTGTGCAAATGAACTAATCTTACTTTTAATAAAGGACCCGCATTTGTGGGAGTATTTTGTAGTATAGGGTCCCATAGAAAATGTTGATTCTGAAGGGAAAGTAAAGGTTTCCTGACAAATTTGCTGGGGTGTAGTCATTTATGCTGAGTACTGTATGTGAATTGTTATACCCACACATGGGATGATATTTAGTACAGCAGAAGAATGAGCTCTTATTCCTACAGATTGAGTGTATAACCCAAGAATATAATAAAGCTGCTATCACTAACACGAATTTCCACTGAACATAATTTAAAAAAACACATGTGATGCGCTACATTATGAGTAATAATATCACAATTAAAAAATATCCCACAAGTTCATGAATAATAAAAATAGTAAACTGGCGAGCAAAATTCCTACTCCAGTGTGTAAAATTCATATAACCAGAGTTTCTACCAGAACTGTGCAAATCTTGCAAAAATCTATTCATTTCAATAAAAAAAGTTATTTGTTAATGTGAAAAATCAATATAATTAATCCTTTCTGTGCAAAACTCGCAAATCAGTGCAGTAAGTGTATGATGTGTTATTTTCCAAGGGCGACCTGGACACTGGATGGTGTAAACCAGGCTTGTCCAACCCACACGCAGTCCAAGACGGCTATGAATGCAGCCCAATACAAAATTATAAACTTATTTGAAGTCATTCTAAAACACACACTGTACAATATATAGTATTCCATCTATTTCTGTATTTGGATAATGGCACTGTAGTAAGACCTAAGTACCTTTTTTTCTAATTGATATACAACTGTCACATGATCCAACTCTTTCCCAGCCAGTCTGCAGGGAAACAGTGGCAGGAGGAGCTTCTAGTCCTCTGCTACTGATCACATGTTAAATAAAAACAGCCCTTGGTGTATAAAATAAAAATAAATAAATTATATTAATAACTGTTTAAAAATGGTCATACAAATATATATTTCATATCAAATCTGATTATAAAGTGTGAGCTGGATTTTGGCTTTAATTGTTAGTGTATCTAAATTTGCTAATACATCTAACGCTACCCCCCCCCCCCCCGACTGATAATGCTGCTGTTCAAAAGGTGTCCCCTGTGTTCCTTCATCCAGAGTGAGGGCACTCTAATATAGGAGACGGGTTAATGGTTACATCACCAGGTGAAACCAGAGAGGAGAGAGCCTAAAAAAAGAAAACTAATGCAGCCACCACATTACATTTTTGGTTTTGGGTTTAATATCGCTTTAGTTTCTGCTAGGTGCATGATAAATTCTGACCTTCCCTCTCTAGCACTTGCTTCCTAGAAAACAGAGCCATGGTCTAAGTGATTTTTCTTCTGTGTAACCTTCTTGTACCGTCATGATATCATGTAAATCATTGGTATTTAAGCAGAATTAAAGTGCCTCTTACATGGATTATGACTATCTTAACCACTTCAGGTCCGGACACTTTCACCCCCTTCCAGTCCAGGCCAATTTTTAGCTTTCAGGGCTATCACACTTTGAATGACAATTGCACGGTCATGCAACACTGTACCCATATTAATTTTTTAGCATTTTTTTTTTGAGACAGATAAAACTTTATTTTGGTGGTATTTATTCACCACTGGGATTTTAATTTTTTTGCTATATAAATGAAAAAGTCCAAAAATTCAAAAAAAGTGTTTTTCTTATAACATTTTGCAAAAAAATAATCTTTCTTCAAAAATTTTGTCCAAAATGTATTCAGCTATTTATTTAGTAAAAAAAATAACCCAGATTAGTTTATAACCAAAAATTATAATTTTTATAAAAAAAAATTTCACATTTTTATTTTATTTTTTATATTATTATTTATGTTTTTTTTTAACATACTGTCACCCTAGCAGTACATTATCACCATAGTGACACTGTACTACTTGTGGGGTTTGATGAAGATTTTTTTTTCTTTTTTTACACTGATTGCTTTTACACCCATAAAGGCTGTAAAAGCAATAAATTCTTCTTCTCTCTGGCTGCATTCTTGCAGCCATTGAGAAATACTTTGCGAGCTGTGATTGGTCACGGCTTGTCACATGGTACAAGGCTGTTGTGTATAGCCTTGTACCATGTTACCTCTGTGATCATTCACAGATTTCACAAGTAGTAAGTAATGATGTCAGGAAGTGACATCTTGTTTACTACTATTCATTAGATCACTGATTGGCCAATCAGTGATCACATGAATCAGGACCTCACACAGAGGTCCCGTACAGCGATTGGTGTTCCGCTGTGTCCTCTGGACACAGCGGGCATCAGATCGTGGTGCCGGACGCTCCCAGGGAACGTGCACAGGCAATGAATGTGGGTGACATTTAGAAACGTCAACCCGCTTTGACACTGCTCCCATCTGGCCGTTTATGTACAGGGGCCAGACAGGATGTGGTTAGTTTAATACTTCTTAGTCACACCAAAACCTACCTAACTGGAAAACCAAATAAAAATAGTACCTACCATGCTCACCCTTCATCTTCATAGATTTCTGCTATGAAGTGGCACAGAAAGATGCTTGCATAAAACTGAAAATTTGGTAAGCGAATATGGCCCCTTATGTGTACAAATACAGCCCTGGCCAAAGGTTTTAAGAATGACATATATAATAATTTTCACAAAGTCTGCTGCCTCAGGTTTTATGATGGCAATTTGCATATTCTCCAGAATGTTATAAAGAGTGATCAGATGAATTGCAATTAATTGCAAAGTCCCTCTTTGCCATGAAAATTAATGTTATCTAAAAAAAAAACAATTCCATTGCATTTCACCCCTGCCAAAAAAGGACCAGCTGACATCATGTCAGTGATTCTCTCGTTAACACAGGTGTCAGTGTTGACAAGGACAAGGCTGGAGATCACTCTCTCATGCTGATTGAGTTAGAATAACAGACTGGAAGCTTTAAAAGGAGCGTAGTGCTTGAAATCATTGTTCTTCCTCTGTTAACCATGGTTACCTGCAAGGAAACATGTGCAGTCATCATTGCTTTGCACAAAAAAGGATTCACAGGCAAGGATATTGCTGCTACTAAGATTCCACCTAAATCAGATGGCGACCGGAGCGGCCGCATAATCCGGAGCTCCGGCGCCGATTTTCGGAATCCGCTGCCATCCGTGCAGCAGCGGATCACGGTGGAGCAGAGGAGGGCCCTGGTGTCATTCCGGATACCTGGGAGGTGGAATCCGGGCGACATTTCCGCCCCTCGTGGCGGCGGACATCCGCGGCCTAGTGCGGCCGCGCGGGCCGGGCTCCGGCGTCTTCCATTTGCACCCGCTGTCATCCGGGCTGTGGGGGATCATCCGAGGACGTCTGCAGCATCCTCTGTATCACAGAGGCTGGGAGAGGGACGCCGCTGTGTATTGCTGCTCCCCGCGGCGGCGGCGACGGTTGCGGCCTACACCTTCTGCCTGAGGCCTTCTTTCACCTGGACACAGTGAGTGGGGGGTACAGGCGGCATCCTGTCACTATGATCTCCCCACAGTGCTTTGGGGAGTGGGCCACATATAAATAGCCCCAGAATCCACCATCCTCTGTGACTGTGGCCCTTACTGTGCTCAGAGGCCTACTGGGGCCTTGATACTGCCCCAGAGGGTGTCTCCCTGCGGGGCCCTGTACTCAGAATTGGAGGTCCTCTGCTTCCTGCTTCTCATCCGTCCCTCTCATGTCCTGAGTTGGGATCCAGTGCCATCATCTTGCTCCAACGTGAATTTATTGCAGGATTGCTGCGACTTATGTTCTATCTACCCTCTCAAGGCCTGCTGAATATTTTTACAATATAATGTTATCGCATATGGATCTGACAGCTTCCATGTAACTACAACCCTGAACCTATTTTGGGCGCTATAGGTCCCCTGGGGTTATAATCTTCACTCACTTTCCAATTTTCAGTTGATCACCCCCGGGAGATTTCTTGTATGCCGTCCACCAAGAAAAAAAAGGGACAAGCTCAGAAGTCCCTCACAACATACCTACTTAAGGCTCACGAGATCTGCGGCATGTCTCCAGTCAATACAGAGCAAGCATCCCTGTCCGATCCCGCGCGGGATACCACCGCTCCCTTATCGGCCTTAGTCAGCGAAAATACACAGCATCTCACAAAAAGGGGACTTGGAGTCCTGCTTGGAATCTATGTACGCCAAACTAGCTGCCAAATTTCAATCAGAATTGCATAAAAGCACTAATGTTCTCTCTCAGGAAATAGCCACGCTGGGCTCTAGGACAGACCGCTTGGAAACCAAACACGATGAACTTAGCCTGGCCTATGGTGAACTTTCCAGAGAACATGATCATTTACAAACGGCTTTTTCACAACTGCAGGCGCAGGTCGAGGATCTTGACAATCGCAATCGCAGAAATAATCTGCGAATCAGGGGAATCCCGGAGTCTATGTCAGATCTTTCATTAATTATAACCAAATTGTTCAAGTCACTCCTCCCAGATCGTGACCCTGGATCTTTTGCTTGTGACCGCATCCACAGAGCCCTACGCCCTAAACCTCCTGCTGACAAGCCGCCTAGGGATATTGTCTTGTGCATGAAGGATTTTCTGACCAAGGAAGAAATCCTTAGAGCTGCTCGCAATACTCCAACAATCTCCTTTGAGGGCTCGGTTTTACAAATCTATCCTGATGTTTCCCCGGCCACGTTGGAAAAACGTAGAAAGATGAAAGAAGTTACAACTGCCCTGTTCTCAGCTCGTATCCGCTACAAGTGGGGCTTCCCTTTTAAGCTGATAGTTCCACACAATGGGAGCACATATATAGCTACATCCCCTCCCGAAGGTAGAGCAATCTTGGCCAAATTGGGCTTGGCGGATGCCCCATCACCTCAACGTCCACCCTCCACCCCTCGTATTTCTCCCATTTGGCATACCCCTTCCCCACGGAGGGATAGAAGGAGAGTCAGACAAGAACCGGGTTGACGTGTCCACTCTCACTTGCCTAATACTCATTGTCTTGATAGTCTTTGGTTTGGTCTATTGTTTTTTTTATGACTTTACTAAGATTTGGGACACAGGGATTTTGCTCTCTATTTTTTACATTGTCAGGTTGTGTATTTCTGTGGTTGTTACTGTGCTATTTTTGCAATACTGAATATTTTGTATGCCTTGCATTGATAATTGTACGGGTTAAGGTATAACAAGGGTCATTGGACCCTCCTAATTGCGCCCATTAATTCATGGTTGTACTACTCTTTGACACGTTACCCCACCCTGCCTCCTGACATGGCCGGAGGTGTCGCCGCCCGATTGCGGGGTGGCAGCTCTGTTCTCCATGTTCTAAGGGGACAGGGTTTGGGCCCATGTGGCCCCTTAATGTTTGAACTTTTTGTTTTATCAGGTATGACGACTTTTCTGCCTGATCCACGTTCTTCAGTTACCCTTTCAAATATAGAAGATGTTAAAGCTTCTTCTCCATTGTGTTTTGCTTTTTCTTTTCTTAAAACTTTAGTGCATGTGGATGGTATTATGTCGGTCGGTCTGTGGACGTCACGACCCCTATGTTGGGGTCTGGAGGTCCCCTAGACTGGTTCTGCCACCTGTATGTCTGTCTGATGCAGACTTGCGGGTTTCTATGTCTAGTCAAATAACTTTAGGGGATATCCTTGTAATGTGTACTTTTATGGTGATAGTGGCAGGCTCTGTTTATTATGGTAATGCAATGTATTTCGCATAATGTCCAGGGTTTTAATTCGCCAAATAAGCGCAAAACAGCCTTTCTTCAATATAAAAGATTAGGAGCAAAAATCATCTTATTACAAGAAACACATTTTGCAGCCGCAAAACACCCGACCTTTTTTCATAGATCCTATAGGCAGGGGTATTATACCCTACATTCCTCCAAGAGTAGGGGAGTGGCCATTTTTCTACATAACTCATTTCCTTTTGAGGTTCAACAAGTGTATCGTGATCCGGACAGTAGGTTTATTATTCTTAAGGGCACCCTTTCAGGTCGAGAACTTACAATTGCTAATGTTTATGCACCAAATTCGGCACAGGCTACCTTTTTTTCTAAATTCTTTGGTGCTCTGGATAAATTTTTGTCCCCCCATCTATTGGTGGGTGGTGATTTTAATCTGGTGGCAAATCCTCTTTTGGACCGTAGCTCTGCCTCGCACACTTCCCAAGCTTTCCCAAAATCCCTTACTAAGAAACTAGATACCCTCCAGTTGGTGGATGCTTGGAGGGCGCACAACACGGGAGCCAGGGATTACACATTTTATTCCCACCCACATGACTCTTATGCTAGACTAGACTATATCTTTTGTACCCCTATTTTGCTAGCTAATTCTAGGATAGCTAGTATTCATTTGAGCACCTGGTCGGATCACAGTATTATGGCCTTATCTATCACGTTTGTGGGATTGGCACCTACTCCCTTTTCATGGAGACTTAATGATTCTATGTTAACTGATACTGACTCTCGGCAGGAGGTGGTTACGTCTCTTAAGGAATACTTTCAATCTAATTCAACCCCTGATATTTCCCCAGCCACACTCTGGGTAGCCCACAAGGCGGTCCTGCGGGGCCGACTTATCTCTATGGCTTCGGCCAGAAATAAAAAACGTTGGCAGCAGATACTACTTTTAACCCGAGAATTAGAAGCACACTATAGAAGCCATGTAGCTGATCCATCTCTACTTAATAAACAGCTGTTGTCCCAAAAACGCTTGGAACTAAATGCCCTACTTTCCCAAAAAACTGAAAAGGCCCTCCGCTGGTCGAAGGCCTCGTTCCTATTACATAGCAACTCAGCATCTACCATGTTTGCTAGGAAATTGAACCATTCTTTGCGCCCCCCACATGTGTATAAATTGCGTACTAATTCAGGTGCTATCTCATCATTACCTCAGGAAGTTTTGGGTATTTTTGAAAATTTTTATTCTAAACTACTGGCTTCTCCACAGTCGGATTCTGTTTCTCTATCAGATTCATGGCTAGATTCTATACCCCTTCCTGTTCTCACACCTTCTCAGATTGCCTCTCTTAATGCCCCCTGTACTTTAGAGGAAATAACATGTGCAATAGGAACGCTGAAACGCTCTACTGCACCGGGTCCTGATGGATTTACTGCTGGCTATTATAAACATTTTGCCTCTACATTGGCTCCATACTTGATAACACTATTTAATGATGTTTTACAGGGGGGTAAATTCCCCGAGGAGATGTTGTTAGCTAACATGTCTCTAATACCCAAGCCACAGAAAGACCACTGTTTGCCGCAAAACTATAGACCAATCTCAGTAATGA